GTTCTGGAGTACTATTTCCAGCTATTGGCGTGACTATGTCCACGTTGCCATTGCCGCATTGCTGATCAATCTGCTGGCCCTGGCCTCACCACTCTTTACAATGAATGTCTATGACCGGGTGGTCCCGAACTTCGCAATCCCGACCCTCTGGGCCCTTGCGGTCGGGGTCATTTTGACCCTGATCTTCGATTTCATCCTGAAAATCGCGCGGGGACAGATCATCAATGTCGCCGGCAAGCGGGCAGACAATGCCCTTGCCAGCAAGATCTTCGCTCACGCCCTTGCCATCGATTTCGAAAAACGACCGGTAAGCTCCGGCCAGTTCGCCAACCACATCCGTGAATTCGAAAATGTCCGGGAATTCATAACGTCTTCCTCGCTGGTTTCGATCATCGACGTGTTTTTCATCGGAATCTTTGTCGCAGTTCTCTTCCTTCTTGTTGGCCCGATTGCGATTGTTCCACTGGTCGCGGTACCGATCGTGCTTGCGATCAGTCTGTTTGTTCAGGTACCCCTTTCCGGCGCAATAGAACAGTCGCACAAGGAAAGCGCGATCCGGCATTCAATTCTCGTGGAGAGCATCGCCAATCTCGACACGGTGCGGGCGCTGAACGCCGAAGGTCGCATGCAGACGAAATGGGAACGGTCCGTCGCTGCAAGCAGCGCCGCAATCATGAAAGGTCGTTTCTGGGCTCTTGTTGCCCAGTCGGGAACGGGACTGGTCCAGGCATCCGTGTCCATAGCCATCATTGTCTGGGGCGTTTACCTCATCCAGAGCGGCGATATCACAATGGGTGCCCTGATCGCGGCCATGATGCTCTCCGGTCGTGTTCTCGCTCCCCTGGCGAATGTCGCCAACACTCTGACACGACTGCGCCAGACGCTTCATTCCTACAAGACCCTGAACGATGTCATGTCGACAGAAACGGAACGCAAGCCGGGGCGGACCTACATCAACAAGCGCATTGCGTCAGGGTCTGTCGAATTCAAGGGCGTCAATTTCCGCTACCCCGGCGCAGAGGACGACAGTCTCAAGAACATTTCCTTCAAGATCACGCCGGGCGAAACCGTCGGGCTCATCGGACGCGTCGGTTCAGGCAAAAGCACCATCGGCCGGCTCTTTTCAGGCCTCTACTATCCGACCAACGGGACTGTGCTGATCGATGGAACGGATACACGCCAGTTTGATCCGGCAGACCTCAGGTCAAATGTCGGCTTTCTGTCGCAGGACAATGTTCTTTTCAGCGGTACAGTGCGCGAGAACATAAGCGCGGGCGACCCTTTTGCCGATGACGATGCCCTCGTCGAAGCCGCCCGGATTGCAGGCGTCGAGGAATTTGTCGCTCAAAACCCTCTCGGCTACGACCTTCAGGTCGGAGAAGGCGGACGCTTCCTGTCGGGAGGACAAAAGCAGGCTGTCGCCCTGGCGAGAATTCTGCTGAGAAAACCACGAGTTCTGTTTCTCGACGAGCCGTCGAGCCATCTGGACCTGGCTTCAGAACGCAGATTGATCACCAGACTGATGGAATACAACACCCCGGACACAACGGTTGTCATCAGCACGCACCGCATGAGCCTCGTCGAACTCACCGACCGGCTTATCACGCTCGATTATGGCAAACTGGCGCTGGACGGCCCCAGGCAGGAGGTCCTGAAGAAACTTCAGGAACTGGGTGCGGTCAACGCGGCAAATCAGCAGAATTCGCAAGGTGGTGCATGATGAATTCTGGTGACTGGAACTACGCGAACGATATCCGCGATGTCATTCAGACCAAACCGCCGCGTTACACGATCAACGTCATCCGGATCGGTTTGGTGCTGTTTGGGGTCATTCTCGCATGGGCCTACTTTGCAACCCTTGAGGAAGTCACGCGCGGCGATGGTCGCGTCGTCCCTTCCCGCCAGATCCAGGTCGTGCAGGCTCCCGACCGTGGTATTGTCGAAAAGATATTCGTTCGGGAGGGTGACATTGTCGACGAAGGCCAACCCCTTATCGAAATCGACGATACGACCTTCTCTTCGCAACTGGGCGAGATCAGGCAGCGCCGATGGGCGCTGATGGCCAGGCTCGCCAGGCTCGATTCAGAAGCTGACCGGAAATCACTGGAATTTCCTGAAACGCTGCTCAACGAGGCGCCCGGCCTGATCGCGGAAGAGGAAAACGTCTTCCGAGACAAGAAAGCCAGCCTCGAGAACGAACTACGTGTTCTTCAGAACCAGGCGTCCCAACGCGAACAGGAATATCAGGAACTTCTGGCAAAGCAGACCAAACTCGAATCCGTCATTGAGATCCTGGAACGCGAGGTGGAGATCAAGCAAAGTCTCTATGAACGAAGGGTTCTTCCGGAAATCGAATTTTTGCAGTTGCAGCGGCAACTAAAAGAAAGCGAAGGAGAGCTTGCCATCACCCAGGCGTCTGTTCGGCGTGCGGCGGCTGCAAGGGAAGAAGCACGCGAACGCTCCAGCAACGCGGTTGCGACTTTCGTCTCCGAGGCCAGTCAGCAGTTGGCCGAGACACGCGGTGAATTGGCGGTGATCAATGAAACCCTGAAAGGCGCGGCAGACAAGGTGCGGCGCACAGAATTGGTTTCCCCCGTCAAGGGGATCGTCAACAAATTGAACATCACGACGATCGGTGCCGTGGTTCAGCCGGCAGCGGATCTGGTTGAAATCGTGCCCCTGGAAGATACCCTTCTCATTGAGGCCCGCATCCGTCCGAAGGACGTCGCGTTCCTGCATCCCGGTCAGAAGGCACAGGTCAAGATAACCGCTTATGATTTTTCAGTTTACGGCGGTCTTGAGGGAAACCTGGAACGAATAAGCGCGGACACGACTGAGGACGAAGAAGGTAATCGTTTTTTCCGCGTAATGATCAGAACAGATAAAAATCATCTTGGTTCTGATACTGAACCTTTACCAATAATACCAGGAATGGTTGCTTCGATAGATATCTTAACCGGTGAGAAAACCGTTCTGGACTACATCTTGAAACCGATCAAGAAAGTTCGGGACGAAGCACTCCGGGAGCGCTGACGTCTCGACAATAACGAGGCGATCGGCAGATGGATCATGGAGCGACCGCACCGGCAATGCCGGTGGCGAACAGGAAAGTTGTGCGCGCGTCCTGGCGGACGGGATTGTGCGTCATCGCTCTCCACTGGGCCGTGCCCCCCGTTCTTGCCGAAAGCGATCCGGCCCAGATTTCAAATTCAGCGGACGCGTTGGCCATCTCCCCATTGCATACGGCGAGACTGGAACCGGACCCTGACAGTCTGAATTTCACCCAAAAACACGAAGATGCGGCTGTTAGCGTTGCAAAGGCGGTAATTCAGGCGAATCTGGTCGGGACACCAAGAACCAAGCCGACAACCGGCCACAAGGCTCTATCTCGTCAGGCTCTCGCTGCAACCGTCTCTGCAGGCAGCAACGGGACGATAGCACCGAGCAAACTGTTCGGAACGCCAGGAGAACCGGTCTCCCTGTCTCCGGTCACCAAACGTTGGCAGAGAGCGCTGGAAAACCTGGAACTGGACGCGGATGTTTCGGGGAAAGACCGGAACAGTTTTCGCGCCTATTCGGCCATCGTGAACCAGGTTCGACCCCATCGACGCGGACTGCAGATCCCGAAGATCAATTACATGGTCAATCGCCTCCTTGCCTACCGCGAGGACAGCGTCCTCTACAAGTCTGGAGAATATTGGGCCAGTCCTGTCGAAACATTGTCCAGGCGTGCCGGCGACTGCGAGGACTATGCCATCCTGAAATATGCCCTACTGCGTGACCTTGGTGTCAAAGACGATGACATGCGGATTGTCGTTCTGCGCGATACGGCCGCTCGCCAATATCATGCAGTCCTTTCGGTACGCCACAAGGGACAGTGGCTCATATTGGACAATCGGTTCTCACGCGTCCGGTTTGAACGCGATCTTCCGCACTATCAGGCTCTATACTCGGTCAACGCAGCCGGAGAGTGGGCGCATGCACCCAGGGCCGGCTCACCGGTTCGTCTCGCGGCAAGACTGAAATCCGCAACCCGGTAAAAAAGGTCTCTTGCAGACCGGAGCTTCCGCAGTCACGAGAGCCATTACGACACGCCGATTGTGTCTCCCAAGCCGGTCCAACGCGTGATATACGCGCGTCATGCAAGCACGAGGTCAAAACGCCGGAACACGGATGCGCGCCCTGTCATCCCCTGCCGTCATTCTTGGAGTGGTCAGCTGCCTGTTCGCTTTAGGTGTTGTCGTGGCCGGATTTCTGTTGGCCGAACACCAGAGAGCAATCCTGAGCACGGACCAAAGGAAATCCGACGCAGAACGCGCGCTCCTGATCAGTGAACTCAAGGATGCGAGACTTACCGGTCCGAGATTGCGACTTGAGGAACTGGCCGCTCTGCCGCTCATTCCCGAATTTGTTGACCTTTCAAGGCGCCAGCCGGACGGTTTGGAAGCGCAAGAGCTTAGGGCCTATCTCCGGACCGTACTTGAGGCTGCATCCAGCGAAACAGGTTTGGCCCGTATCGCGATCGTCGATGCAGAAGGACGACAACTTCTCAGCGTGGATAGCCTGATCTCGAATGAGACTACCGAAGAAAGCCACAGGCTTGCGGCAATTGTGTACGACATCAACGACCCGGCGAAAGCAGCCGGAAAAATCGCGGGTTACGTTCCGAAAACTGCAATGTCAATGCTGCTGCCGTCGGACACGAATTCACCAACAAGTACAGCAGGCATCTCGTCTTCAACCTCGGCGAATTCGGGCACCCGGGCTGTACTTGATATTCCTGGCACGACCCGCTTGCTATCGCTGGTAGCCGGCATTGCGATTGCGTTCTTCGGACTCTCAGGCGCGGTCCTGTTGCGAAGGCAAATTCTCCGAAAATCCTGAAAAACCATCGTCATCTGGTTCTCCACAAACGTGCGTGGGCATCATTTGCGTTGACAATCGTCAAATAAAAAAGGCGGGCTTGCGCCCGCCTTCAAGACATTCAAACGCTAAGAGCTTCAGCCAATGTTGACCGGGATCTGCGCCTCGCTACCGTCGCTGTCCAGAACGACCCGGATCGTCTCGCCCATCGAGGCATGATCTTGAAGCGTCGCCGCGTCCTGCCAGTCGTGTGCCGTTCCATCGCCGTCGCGGTCGACCTTGAGCGTTATCGCACCATCGGCCTCTTTTTGCGCCTGCACGAATTCCTCGACATCCGCACCCGGTCCAAATGCCCCGTCGAGCAACTCGCCAAGATCGATCCGGTCGCCATCCGCGAATGCGTAATCGGTGATGATATCGGCCTCTGCGAGGGAATTGAGGACAAATGTATCGGCGCCCGCGCCGCCTGTCAGCGTATCGGAACCGAGCCCGCCGATGAGAATGTCATCGCCGTCGGTCCCGACGAGAACATTGTCGCCGCCGTCACCTCTGATGGTCGATCCGGTGATAATTGCACCCGGTTCGATGTTTTCAACCGGGTTGATATCACTGTCGTTCTCGGGTTGATCCTGGATATCTGCCACGACAGTGCCGCTAACGGATGTCGGAGACGAACCGGTCGCTGCTGTGTCAGCTGCCAGAACTTCCAGTTCAACCGCGCGCGTTACCACGTTGCCGTCAGCGAAATTCAACGCGATTTCGACCGAGGCATCTCCAACATATCCTTCGCTGGAAGTGAAGGTGACCGTGAAGTCGTCCGAAACTGTTAACTCTCCATGTTCGGATGCCCGGGTCACCGATACACTTGTCAGTCCCGCTGCAACCTCATCACTGGACGCTGCATAGATCACCAGAGCAACTCCGGCGGCAATTGCCGTCGATTGCCGCGTCGTTTCTTCAGCATCCGGGCCGTCCACGTTGGCAACCGCAAAAGCCGCACCGGCATATTCACCCGTGCTTCCGTCGGTCTTCGTGAAAGTGCCTTCGGCAAATACCGTATTGCCATCAACATCCTGATAGACCGACCGGGCGCCCAGATCGATTGACGCTACACCATGTTCGACAAGCGATTTCAACTCGCCTTCCTGTACAACACCGTCGGAGTTGGCGTCCTGCCAGACCTTGATGTCGTTGAAAGCGGCGTCGCCAGCGTCGATGACCCCATCACCGTTGTCATCGAGTGACGCGAGGGCTTCAAGGGAATCGGCATACGATCCTCCATTGAAGCTTTCCGAGAAGATTTCCGAACCGTTCTCGATTGCCCCTGATCCGTCGACATCCATGACGAGCAGACCATCATCGGAACCAACCCATCCGGTCTGTTCGACAATTCCGTCCGCGTTGACGTCGAAATCGACACCGTTTTCAGCTGAAATCAGTTCAACACCGTCACCATCCAGGTCGAGAATGATCGGATCGGAGGAGAAATTGAAGTCCGAAGCACTAAGTGCTGCCGGCGACACTCCTGTGATAACAGCAACATATTGGCCGTTGACGTTATCGAATATTGTGGCCCTTCCGAAGGCGTCGTTGCCGATCGTCAGGTCGGCAAATGTCAATCCGCCAGTGATCGTGATCTTGTCTGACCCGTCCTGAAAGAAGAAAACTTGGTCGGCATCGGAAATCGAGGCACTGCCTTCGCCGGCAGCGAAAACGAATTCGTCGGCTCCAGTCCCACCGAACAACCTGTCCTGACCAGTGCCGCCCGCGAGCTTGTTGTTACCGAGCACTCCGAAGATATCATCATTACCGGCACCGCCAATGAGCGTGTCATTGCCACCAAAGCCCGCGATGAAGTCATTGCCCTCGCCGCCTGAAATCGTGTTTGCCTGACCGTCGCCGAAGATGGTGTCGTTGAAGTCAGAGCCGGTAACATTCTCGATGCTGACGAGATTGTCGTGATCAATCGTGTCGGCTGCGATTGCGTCCGCCAGAACCGTAAAGCCCAGGCTCTGGTTAGCCAGATCCGTAGACCAGTTCAGGTCCATCCTGACCAGAACGGCTTCCGAATTATTGGAATAGTCTGCTGTATCCGTGCCTTCGCCTCCGTCAAGCAGATTAATCCCGCCGCCTCCGTTGAGCGCGTCGTTTCCACCATTACCCGTCAGTGTGTTGTTGTTGTCATTGCCGACCAGAACATCATCGCCAGCGCCACCAATTGCCTCGTCGATCCCTACCATGCTGTCGGCGCCGACAACGGCAGGATCAGCATCATCTCTGTCGGTTGCAGTTTCCCCTGCTACCGTTTGCCCGAGAATTGTCTTTTCAGCGTCGCTCAGATTAACGAACACACCGGATGTCAGGCCGGAATAGTCGACAGAAGTGCCAGTGACCGTTCCTGCCGCGTCGACGCGCACGGTAAATGCGCCGTCTTCACTGTCATCACCATCAGCGTCGGTCGCATTGAAGGAAAATGTCAGGTCCAGGTAACGGTCCGTTCCTACCGAAGTGGTATGATCAAGTGGCTGCAGAAGTTCGAAATCGTAGCTACCTGTTCCCTCGTCGGAGAGTGACACCGTCAAAACAACACTGCTTTCCGTCGCTTCAACCGGCACGGCGGCTCCAACGTATCCGACAAGAATGCCATCGATGATCGCGAAATTGACAAGCTCACCGTCGGAATAAATCTCGGTCAAGGCCCCGTCCGCATCGGCAAAGGACACGTTGTCGACAGCAGTCGCCTCGGAAAAGCCGACCGAACGATCGCCAGGTGCGCCATCATCGTCATTGGCATCATCGATGCCCCACTCGATGCCAAGATCGATGGACTCCAGCGTACGAGTGCCGTCTTCTTCTACAACAGTATCGTCAACAGTACCGATTTCCGGACCGCCATCGCGAATCCTGATTGTTGCATTTGCAGCATCGGTGTCCCCGTCTCCATCCGTTACGGTGAAGCGAATGCGGAATATCAGCTGGTCCGCTCGTCCTGTCTCTCCTGCATCAGGATGATCGAGACCGACAAACTGCTCGTAGGTGTAGTTTCCATCCGGGTTTACGACGAGTTCAAAGGCCTTGGTTGCGGTTCCTTCCAGAACAGCATTCACGGTTATCACACCGCCTGCATCCGTCGAACTGGACCAGATGACGGGTACGCCGTCTGCTGAAAGCGTTCCACGCCGGTCAGCACCGCTGGCATCCGGATCAAACGTACGGATGTAATCCCCATCGGAAATGAAAGTGATCCCGGTTACTGTTGCTCCGTCCGCACCGCCATCGAACTGAAGTTGACCGGAAACAATCGAAGTTTCGGTGTCTGCTTCATTTTTCGCAACGCCTGATCCGCGCCTGAAAGCAGTTGGACCGTCATCGTCAAACGTGACGTCTGCGCCAATCGATACGTCATTCGAAACGGTATCGCCATCCGCATCGGTAACGGTCAGAACCGCGGAAATCTTTCCTGCCAGCGAGATATGCTCGTCAGAACTTGTCGGGTCAGGATGTTTGAGTGACAGATATTGCGCGATGCTGACGTTTCCGTCTTCATCGAGATGAATGGCAAACGCTGCATCACCATCCCCGTCAATTCGTCCTACAACGAGGTCGCCTTCCATGGAAAGCGTGATCGCCTTGCCGTCCGTCGTCGTGATCCCGGATGCCGGATCGTCGATGCGCAGGGAAAGCTCGACGCTCGGATCATCATCCGCGCCGCCCGCAGCGTCGAAGCCGACGACACCAAAGCTGGCATAGATCGGGCCCGGCAGGTCTGCGTCGCTACCTGTCGACGTTACGTCGGAAAACAGATCAACGATCTCCGGATCGAACTCTCCTGTCGATGGATCGAAGACATTGTCGCTGTGAAGCCCGTAGGTTTCGTCAATCCGAACGTAGTCGACGACGGCAATTTCCGGAACCGGCACGTCGTCCGTTACATCGACAAGGAGTTTGCCGGTAAGGCCACTACCATCGCCATCAGCATCCATGACTTCGATAACCGCGCCGAAATCTATCTCGCTCAGCGATCCCGAAACGGTATCAAGTACCGAGTTTTGTCCGTTCCCGGAGACATGATCAAGCTGATCGTGAAGCCGGACTGCGTAGTCGCCATCCGTCTCCAGCTGAAGACTGATGACCGGACGGTCGACAAACAGATCGAAACTTCCGTCGCCCTCATCGACATAACCGAAGAGAAACGAGGATCCCGCGATTTCAGTGACAGCGAAGGAAAGCACTTCTCCGCGAGACTGAAGGCCCAGCGCTTCCATGTCCGCTGCAGCGGTTGGGGAGAAAGAAAATCCGCCAGTATCTCCACGACCGTCTGCACCGAAGTCGACCAGGGCCGCAAGGGACCCCTCGGCAAATGCCGGACCAACAATATCGGCAAAGCCCGTTGTGGATCCGTCGGCGTTTCCGTCGCTGGGCTCCGAACCAATCGAAAAGAAGCTGACAATGTCGTCTTCGTCTAGCGTGGCTCTTTCAACCCCATCGCCGACAACCGGCGTGTCGTCGTCAACACCGACAGAAAATGTCGAAGTCGACGTATCGCCGTCGCTGTCCGTTGCAACGTAGAGAAAATCGAGAATCAGGTCGTTTTCGTCGGCACCTTCAAGGTGGTCGAGAGAATCCTCCAGATCGAACTTGAATGAGCCACTTTCGGTGTCGAACAATTCGACCGTGAAAATGACGCGCCCGCCGGCGGTCGCCGTCAAGATGTCGAGAGAGGCGTTCAGCGTGTAGCTGAGTGCCTCGCCGTTGGATGTCAGGCCGAGCGCAACAAGCTCGTCGACTGAGCCACCGTCGCCTTCGACAAAGGTTACTGCACGATCGCCGTTTCCGGCTGAAGTTCCACCATCAGGAACGGAGTTCTCATTGTCGGCCCCCCAGAATATCGCCAGTTCGCCGTAAACGGTCGTCGCGTCACCATCCGTATCGAGACTGTCGTTCGTCACAGTGGCTGCATCGCCGGGCTGGCTGTCCATGTTGCCGGCCGGCAAGTCGTCCTCGTCCACGAGGGCTGCGACACCGCCTGTCTCGATGGTGAGGCTCCAGGACACAAGCGAACCTGTGTCTTTTACGAAGACATCATCAATTTGAAGCGTCCAAGTTCCCTCCTGGCTCAGTCCGTCCAGCAAATCCAGATCTGAAACCGTGGGGCGCCAGCTTCCGGCAAACGGCGGTGTTGCAACTGCCAGACTGTTGGCCGCTTCGTCATCCAGCGTGACCGTACCGTCGACCGCTCCGTCGGCACCGCTGACTTCCACGAGGCGGACCAGAGTGCCATTGGTGTTGATTTGCGCTGAGAACTGACCCGGTAGCCCCATAAATTTTCACTGAGAACTGACCCATGTAACGACGCTACCCTGACGCTTTTGTTTGGGGGAGATATGGAGTGATCGACATGGGATTTTTAAGTGTCATTCGACGTTGGGCATTACGTGAAGGGATGCCCATTCGCGAGATAGCCCGCCGTACTGGTTTGTCTCGCAATACCATCAAGAAGTACCTGCGAGAGGGCGCTGTTGAGCCGAAGTTCAAGGTGCCCAAACGACCGAGTAATCTTGATCCGTATGCGGATCGTTTGTCTGCATGGTTGTTGGCTCAGACACGCAAATCGCGCAAAGAGCGGCGTACTGTGAAGCAGATGCACGCCGATTTGGTGAAGTTGGGCTATGCAGGATCCTATGCGCGCGTGGCCGCTTTTGCCCGTGCCTGGCGTGACGACCGGCATCGTGCCGAGCAAACAACTGGGCGCGGCACGTTTGTACCGCTGGTGTTCCAACCCGGCGAAGCGTTCCAGTTTGATTGGAGCGAAGACTGGGCCACTATCGGCGGTGAACGGGTCAAGCTGCAGGCGGCCCATACGAAGCTCTCGCACAGCCGAGCTTTCTTAGTGCGCGCCTACCCATTGCAAACGCATGAGATGCTGTTCGATGCCCATTGGCATGCGTTCCGCGTTTTTGGCGGTGTGCCTGGACGCGGGATCTATGATAACATGAAAACTGCTGTTGATCGCGTTGGCCGTGGCAAGCAGCGTGACATCAACGCCCGGTTTAAGGCGATGGCCAGTCACTATGTTTTTGAACCCGAGTTCTGCAATCCAGCGGCAGGTTGGGAGAAGGGCCAAGTCGAGAAGAACGTCCAAGATGCGCGCAATCGCATGTGGCAGGTCATGCCTGTCTTCAAGGATCTTGATGAGCTGAACCAGTGGCTGGAAGACCGCTGCATCGCCCTTTGGATTGAGACACCGCACCGGGATCTGCCCGGCACTATTGCTGACATCTGGGAAGCAGAGAAGCCCATGTTGATGGCACTACCACCCGCCTTCGACGGTTTTGTGGAGCACAGTAAGCGTGTGTCGCCAACATGTCTGATCACCTTTGAGCGTAATCGCTACAGCGTGCCCGCGAGCTTTGCCAACCGGCGCATCAGCTTGCATGTCTATCCAGAACGGCTGGTCATAGTGGCCGAGGGGAAGACCGTTTGCACACATGAGCGCATCATAGATCGATCACACCGCAAACCTGGTCGTGTTATCTACGACTGGTGCCACTATCTCGCTGTAATCCAACGTAAACCCGGTGCCTTGCGCAACGGAGCACCGTTCATTGAGATGCCAGAGGCCTTCCGCAACTTGCAAGGTCACATGCACCGCAGAGAAGGTGGTGACCGCGAGATGGTCGATATCCTGTCATTGGTTTTGCACCATGATGAGAATGCCGTTCTGTGTGCCGTAGAATTGGCGTTGGAGGCTGGCGTGCCAACCAAAACCCACATTCTGAACTTGTTGCACCGGCTGATAGACGGAACGCACACTGATCTCCCAGAGGTCGATCCACCTGATGCACTCGCATTGGAAACAGCGCCAAAGGCAAACGTGGACCGCTATGATGATCTGAGACAGGCTGGGGGCAAGTACCATGCGTCATGACCCAGCAGGAGCCTCAATCGTGATCATGCTGCGCAGTCTCAAGCTCTATGGCATGGCAAACGCCGTAGAAGATTTGGTCGCCCAAGGCGGGCCTTCTTTTGAGGCCGCAACACCTATGTTGTCCCAACTGCTCAAAGCGGAGATTGCCGAAAGGGAAGTGCGCTCAATCACATACCAGACAAAGGTGGCCCGCTTTCCGTCATACAAGGACCTCGCAGGCTTTGAGTTCAAATCTAGTGACATCAATGAAGCGACCGTCAAGCAACTGCATCGGTGCGAGTTCATGGAGAACGCTGAGAACGTCGTGCTCATCGGCGGGCCTGGAACGGGCAAAAGCCATGTCGCGACCGCCATCGGTGTTCAGGCCATTGAACATCACAGGTGCAAGGTCCGCTTCTACTCAACCGTCGAACTGGTCAACGCGCTAGAACAGGAAAAGGCGCTCGGCAAGACCGGAAAGATGGCAGAGATGATGACCAAAATTGACCTCGTGATTTTGGATGAACTTGGCTACTTGCCGTTCAGTCCATCCGGCGGCGCACTACTGTTCTATCTACTGAGCAAACTCTACGAGCGGACCAGCGTCATCATAACCACCAACCTCAGCTTCTCAGAATGGGCCCAGGTCTTTGGAGATGCAAAGATGACAACCGCGCTTCTGGATCGCCTCACACACCGCTGCCACATCCTGGAAACTGGAAACGACAGCTACCGCTTCAAAGCCAGCTCAGAGGCTGCAAAGAAAAAACGAAAGGACAAGCCAACATTGACCAACACGTAACCGCTGATACATAAACAAAGGTGGGTCAAATCTCGGTGAAAATACCGGGTCAGTTCTCAGCGCAAATCAACATGCCATTGGGGGCGATCAGTGTGATCTTGAGATCCCGCATCCAGTCATGATCCAGAACCAGGGAGAGATTCAGGTCTCGGATAGTGCCGCCTTCGGGAACTTCAATCGTCGACGAAAGAACTTCACCGAGATTGCCGTCATCGGGAATCGCGAGATTGATTGCACCTGAATCGTATGTCACCGGTCCAACGACGCCAATGTCGTGGATGTTGGCCGAGGCAATTGACGGGCTGTCGTCAATAACCTGGACGGTGAACGCGTCGGTCGATGTGTCACCGTCGCTGTCACGCGCAATGAAATCAAAGGACAATGACAGGACATCTTCCTCAACCGAAGACGTACCCTTCAATGGATGATCAAGAGTGTCGTCCAGAATGAACTGGTAAGAGCCTTCTGCATCGTCGGAAAGCGCCACGCGGAAAACGCTTCGCTCTTCGGTGTCGCCATAGTTGGCGTAAGCGGTCAGAAGCGTACCGTCGTTGGACAGGACATAGCTCAACGCATCACCGCGCGACGTGAGCGTCGCAGGATCTATTGCAGCCCCCTCGCCGTCTTCAACCGCAATTACACTGGCAATGTCAACGATCTCGCCGTCGGCAGCATCTGAAAAAACGACAGATCTCTGGCCACCGGCAGTGGCCGTGTCCTGCACCGGCAGGCCATCGACTTCAGTGTCAGCGCTGTCGGTATCGTCCGCGCCCCAGGTAATGTTCAACGACGCAGTGGCCTGTTCAGTCAACGGAGTACCGAGATCAGCCGGCAAGCCGTCAATATCAAAGGGATCCCGGTCGTCATTACCCCAGGGAAGATCTTCTTCCTCGACAGCACTTGCAACCGGTTCACTGGAAAGCGGTGCATCGTCAACGACCGAAACGCGGAAATCACCTTCAACGGTGTCGCCGTCGCTGTCACTTGCTATGACAGCAAAGTCGAGATCCCAGGACTCCGACATTGCGCCTGAGCCGGGAAGATCGTGATCGATATTGCCGAGCAGTTCGAATGTATAGGATCCCGACCCGTCGTCGGAAAGGGATACGACGAAAACCTTGTCAGCGTCGGTTCGACCATCACCCTTGTAGGCAGTCAGAACCGTGCCATCTGAATTCAGGACATAGTCAAGCTCGATGCCATCCGACGTCGTGAGTTGGGTTGGCTGGTCTGCGATGGCGGCGAACACGACCGAACGGTTACCGGTGCCACCCGGTGTGTCCTGAAGTCCGCCTGTATCCGCCGTGTCGCCGTCATCGGCACCAAAGGTGAAATTCAGGTTGCCGGTTTGCGTCAACGCTGTCGCGTCAGGATCAGTGCCGCTTGCCAGATCGTGTTCCTGCAGCGTCACGCTCTCGGCAATACCCGCTTCCGGTTCGTCATCGACAATCGTGACGCGGAATTCACTCGCGACCGCGTCACCATCTCCGTCACGCGCAACAAATCCGAAATCTAGGTTCCATGACACCATCTTGCCGGTCGACCCCGGGGGATTGTGATCAATGTTGCCGAGCAATTCGAACGTGTAGGAGCCCGAGCCGTCGTCGGAAAGGGACACGACAAAAACCTTGCTCTCGTCTCCGCGGTCACCACCCTTGTATGCGGTCAGAACCGTACCGTTTTCAGAAAGAACATATTCCAGCGCAAGGCCATCCGACGTCGTTGCCTGGATCGGCTGATCGGCGATAGCTGCAAAGACGATGGAACGGTTGCCCGCTCCGCCCGGAGTGTCCTGCACCGCTCCGTCATCTGCTGCGTCCGCGTCGTCCGCACCCCAGGTGATGTCCAGATCACCAGTCTTGACCAGCGCAGACGAATCCGGGTCAGTGCCGGTTGCAAGGTCGTGTTCCTGCAATGTACGCTGCACAGGCTCGCCGGCCTGCGGTTCGTCATCCTCGATTGTTACCCGAAGACCGCCCGTAACCGCGTCGCCGTCACCGTCATTTGCAACAAAGGCAAAGTCGAGGTTCCGGCTCTCGGTTGCTAGACCGCTCGCTGAATCGACATGATCGATGTTGCCGAGGAGTTCAAACGTGTAGGAGCCCGTTCCATCATCAAAAAGCGTGACGATGAAGACCTTGTTTGCGTCTCCACGGTCGTCTCCCTTGTAGGCCGTCAGGACCGTGTCATTTTCCGAAAGTTCATATTGAAGCGCAACACCGTCAGAACTAGTTGCTATCGTCGGCTGATCCGAGATGGCTGCAAATACGACTGAGCGGTTGGCAGTGCCACCTGGCGCGTCCTGAAATGCGGCGTCAACGGCATCATCGGCGTTGTCAGCACCCCAGGCAATGTTCAATTCACCGGCCTTAGTCAAAGAAGATGCGTCGGGATCGGTTCCGTCGTCCAGGTTTTCTTCCCCAAGCGTAAGTTGCTCCGATTCTCCGGTTTCGGGCTCGTCGTCGATGATGTTGACCGTGAAAGTGTCACTGTCCGCATCACCGTCTGAATCGTATGCGCTGAAGCCGAAGACCAAAGGAATGCTGGTGTCCTGACCGTCACCAATGTGATCCAGGTTTCCGAACAGGTCGAATGTATACTGACCGCCGGGTGATCCGCCGGAACTCACCACGTCAAGCGTGACAGTAAATACGGCCTCACCCGTGCCGGCCTTTACGGCAGTCAGGGTCTGGCCGCCGCCGGGGTTGGTGACAACGCTCAATACCAGAGACACACCGTCGGAGGTCAACCCGCCGGGCAGACCGTCGAACTCAAGTCGCGGCGTACCACCGGGGTTTTCGCCGAAGTCGACATCCAGGCTTGCAGTGACCGAAACCGGACCGTCGGGGCCAGTACCCTCTTCCAGGTTTTCCTCATCAAGCGTGCTGTCGACCGGTGTACCGATATCCGGTCCCGTATTGTCAGCGGACTCCGAGAAATCGTCGACAAGAAATGCTCTTTCACCCGGCAATTCGCCTCGCAGCAGATCGCCAAATCCGAGTCCGTTTCCAAGATCGCCGATTTCCGTTGGTTCGAAATTCTGACCCGAGCTCTGCGAACTTCCAAGTGCTGTCGCAAGATTGCTGGTTTCACCGGCCGCGGTCTGTATCTCTTCGGCGAGTTGCAGATTGGCGAGTGACACGAAACCGTCGATTGACAGCAATTCGTTGTCGCCAACGATGACCGCCTCGGCACCACTGTCACCTTCGAAGAAATCCCGGATGATGACCATACCGCCGTCGGCAAAGATCATCTGCAGGTCACCGTCGATGCGGAAAAAGGAAATGTCCTGATCAAGGATCTGCCGAAAGTCGACAAGCTGACCTGAGTTTCTCAGCGCGACCACGCTGCTTTGTGCCGCCGGACGATCCACGACAAGTGGTTCTGATGCACCATCCGCTGCTGCACTGTTCCCTGTCCCGGTGGAAATGTTCGCTTGCGCTATCCGGACAAATTCGTTCATGGCCAAACACTCTGCACTTTTATGGTCAGTTTTTATAAAATCGGCGCTACAACATTTACAATTTTTTCACCAACCATGAAAGTCACGAGTACATTAACTTTAGAAAAGGTAAACGTGTACGGTTGAAATTGAACGAAATCGCAGGTTTGCAATCAGAGACGACCGCACTCGGACAGAAATAAAATTGTAAAAAGAACTTATGAGACGATATTTCTTCAGTGAAAATTGTTAATTTATCAAAATTTGGAGATTTTCATCAGAAGTATTATTGAATCGAATTTTATTTTTTCGATTTTTATTCAGGAAATTTTACGTTTTACATGAAACCGACTGATTGATTACCGCTTCCGCACAACTTCAGGAAAGCGGGACAGTATTCAATCGCAATCATTAGGCTACTAGCCGCAATGGTTTTCTCGAAAATTCATGGCAAACCCGCTGAATTATCAAACAGACAGAACAAATGAAGCGGCTGAATTCAAAACAGTGAGTTTCGATTTGCCACAGACCGGGAATCCGGCCCATTAGCTGCATTTTCCTTGTCATGTTCTGGAAACCTGGACCCAAAAATTTAGGTCAGAAGAAAATCAATTTGCAAAGTGGCATTTTCTTAAGAATATTACTGAAACTCTTCCGGAAAATACGTTGATTTTAACAAAATTCTCGCGATCCCTATCCCAATACAACGGCACGACAATGCATTCGTTAAGGCGAGACTTGTGGAAATCAATCGTGTCGAATGAAGATCGCAAAGTCGGTTTATGGCTGAAAAGAGGCAATTTCACATTGCCGGCTCACTAAGTTTTCGCCTGGATCAGCTGGCAAACGAAGTCGGATTGCCGGTGCTCCGGTCTTGCATCACCAGTCCCGCCAGCGTTCTCAAACAAGATCGGCTGCTGCCGTTTCGGTTTCCATCGCTGCATGAAGTGCCGCCGACACCTGCCTGCATAGTCCCGCATAATGGGCAGACGTCCGGAAGACTTCATCGCGAACAATGGAAGGGTCTATTTCGATCTGGTCGGTAACGCATCCGGGCCGGGACTGCATCACGGCAACCCGCTCGGAAAGAAACACCGATTCAAACACGGAGTGCGTGACAAACACGACTGTCAGGCCAAAAGCCTTCCAGAGCCTCAACAAGTCATTGTTCAGTTTGAAACGTGTTATCTCGTCGAGAGCCGCAAAAGGCTCGTCCATCAGGAGAACTTTTGGTCTGGTGACCAGTGCCCGTGCTATCGACACCCGCATTTTCATGCCACCGGACAACTCACGCGGATAACTGTCGGCAGACTGGCCGAGACCGACCATCTCCAGCGCTTCCAGGACGCGGTCGCGTGCGGATGCCCTTGAAACACGAGCGAGGCGCAACGGAAGCCAGACATTCTCGAAAACCGTCGCCCAGGGCATGAGCGTCGGTTCCTGAAAAACGAAGCTCAATTCGTGTTCCCGCTGGTTCGTCTGCTCCTGCGGCCAGCTCACCCACCCCGACGACGGTTCGGCCAGCCCGGCGATGATGCGCAGCGCGGTCGATTTCCCACATCCGGACGGCCCCAGCACGGACAGAAATTCTCCGGCCTGGACATCGAGATCCAACCCATTCAAGGCAACGGTCCCGTTCGCAAACGTTTTTGAAACGTCCTCAAGAGACACGATTACATCAGTATTTGCGGGACGAATGTTCATTTGCGCAGCACTATCGATTAATTGCCAAGTCTGCAAATATTCCAATTACACATTGAAATCCAGAAGTCATCCGAACCATTTGAGAGGCTCGGGAAACCTGGTTTTTTCGACTAAGTGAGGAGAGTTTGGTGCGGGCGACGGGACTCGAACCCGTACAGCCTAGGGCCGAGGGATTTTAAGTCCGAATAAGTCGATCTAGACGACACGAATAACCCTCATAAGCCTCTCAAAAATAAACATTTTTTTAAATCTCTCTCCGCTTCCCCAAACCAAACTTGCACAGACTTGCACAGAAAGTTGCACAAAATGCTCCAAGCGTTTGAAGTCGACAGAAGAGCATAAGGCAATCCCCTTGACCAACTCGAGCGGCACCGGCGAGGCTCAGTGGGCTATCGTTCCGAACAGCCCCAAATTGCCCATGGTTACTTTTGTCGGGAAGATGTGGACCTCAATCCTTGTGAGATACTTTTCGCCATTAATTTCGGTGAAAAGGCGATGCCTCTTAACGTTCGCTTCCCATATCAGTTTATCATTGGTCAAAAGACAATACTGCGGCCCATCGGTAATATCAGACAGGACTGCCTTTTCATTCTGAGGCAATTGGAGCACATCAAAGAGTTTTTTTAATTTATTGTCTACGTCTGTGATGTCTTCAGAAACACTCAAGGAACCACCCGGTTCATAGAAGTGTATCTTAAGAGAGCAAGCGAGATTACTCTTTTCATGAACAACTGATATGAATTTTTTGCCGTAAACTTCCGAGATTGCAGCACCGTTACCTGTGTTTGATGTTACAGGCAATTCTCTCCAACGTTTGAATTCCTGATTTAAGGGTGCACATTCCCAAAGCATGCAGAGCTGTTTGTGCATCTGCTCGCGGAAGCTCCTAGTGAAGTCCTTTTTGAAACCTTTGTTCCCCGAGGGAATTCGGCCTGAAAATAATAGTTCAAAGCGCATTTTGATTCTTTTGGTCCTGACAGAGGGTCTCAAACCTGTAAGCCGTTATTTCAGCGGCAGACTCAAAGACCCTTGATCATGCAAACTGAGCAGACCAGTGATTTCGATTAAAAGCCTCAGAACGGGTCTTCCAATTGAGGCTGTGCCATTTCCCACTCCATGTCTTCCTTGGCGCGGATACTGCGTTCTCTTTCTTTGTCACCATCTGGAAGGCGAACTGGGACACTAAAGCTTATCCGATTCGCTGTGCCAGCGGTGTGGCTGGCACCACCTTCAGCCCCGATGCCAAATACGCTTAATTTTGCTCCGGCTCCGCCTTTCATTTCCGCTGTCACCGCAACGTCGAAATCGACCCGCGTCGCAACGCCGTAGGTCCCAACGTTTACGAGATGGCCACCAAATTCCGCACCTGACATAGATGCATTTACATTCAGTCCATTCTCCTTCGATTGCGCGATACTTACGCCTTCAATGATCTGGCCAAGAGTTTCAGCGATAAAGTCTTTTAGCTCCATTTCTAAGCCTTTATTTCAATTTAATAAGGATGCCTTCTTGCGCTCGCCTAATATTTCCTTCTGGATATTCGGTTTTGAACATAAAGCCCTCTTTCTTGTCCTTAAAATAGGTTTCTTTGATAGCTTCAACGTCTTTTCGGCTACAGACATGTCTTTTACCAAAGACATCAGTGACGAAAAAACGTTTTAGGTCATTTCGTATGTATGCGACACTTTCTTCGTAAGGGAAGTAGAATGAGCACGACTCTCCAACCTTTAGTGTTTTCGGAAGTCCCCCACCAAAAGGTCCTATGCCAAGTCTGAGTTTGCTAGGATAGTTGTCCAAGGGGTTTAAAGTACCTTCAGATTTTCTTCCATCTGAATCTTCAAATTCGACGCAACATTGCATGATTTGAGTGTCTGTAGGGCCATGATTAACAAGATAAAACTCAACAACTTGATCGTCAATTTCAGTTGTTAATATGTTCTTGATACCACAAAACAATCTTACTCTTGCTTTTGGGTAAATGAACTTTGAGTAAACATTCCACCCAAATGAAGCCAACGCAATCAACATCGAAAAAATACTAATAATGAAAGCAGCGGTAGCTAGATTCATTTAATGGCCTCACGCTGGCGAATTAACTGCGTTCAATAGCGATTTCTTCCGCTGCCTTCTATGGAAACTTACGCATCGCTCACCTCTTAAAAGTCTAAACCTTTAAGTTCAGGCTTTGGTGCAGACGACGGGACTCGAACCCGTAAGCCATTGTTTCGGCGGCAGATTTTAAGTCCTTTGTTTTTGGTGCGAGCGACGGGACTTGAACCCGTAAGCCTTTAGGGCGGCAGATTTTAAGTCTGCTGAGTTTACCAATTTCTCCACGCTCGCACAGTGTTGCACAGAAAGTTGCACAACTAGATGAAGTCGAAACTTCCCACCGCAGTTGCGATGGCTCGCTCCTTGTATCCATTGCGCTCGACCAGCACAAGAATGTTTGGGAATGGCCGTGGGTAGTACTCCACAACCTCTCCTTCGAGGCCCTGCCATTCCTTCACATGGTAGTCCTTCCTGACGCGAACCTTCCGTCCGATCATATTGCTTTTATCCTGACGCACGCGGCCAAGGTCAGCGACAGCTCGCTCATTTTCTTGAACTGGGCGATCATCCCCACCGCAGCCCGACGTCCACCTTCCCTCTTTGCCAACTCATGGGAATGACCAGCCTCACACATCGCACGTGCCTCCTTGAGGCGGGGGTCCGACATCTCGTCGCATTTCTCCTGTAGCTGTGTAAATTGTTTCTGCTTCATGTGTCAGTCCTTCCGATGTGTCATCTAATAGTGTGTTATTGTCCGACGCAGTGCTCGGTCTTTGAAGCGTTTTTCAGCGGCGCTCTTAGGGCGTTCAATCGTTGCACCAGCGCTGCTCAAAGCCTTACAAAGCCTCTCAACAATTAAGCGCGGTGGTTCTGACTTGCCGCGTTTTTTAAGGTTTTTTGTGACTTTGCGGCTCTCACTTCAGCCCTCCAACACCTTCTCTCTGTGGGGAGGTTCCATGACCTCATGAGCGCCAACACCCTCTATGATTCTAGTTCGGACAAACGGCGCCAACGCGCCATGATTTCGTGCAGGTTCTGCGAGTGCTCGGTCGATGAAGTCATCTGGAACATCGTCTTGGAGTTTCGTTGTGTCCACATATGACGTGTGGCTCAAAAACAGCGCTTCTTGGCTATTAATAGATATTGCTAAATCTCGTGCTTTTCGAAATTTTGGAGGTTCGCTGTTGATAAACATGAACCAGCGATTTTCTGGACAAATACAAATACAAAACTTGTCATGCGGATTGGGAATATGATTGCAATAAATT